GCACCAAAGGTGCCTTCATGCAGCTGCTCAAAGTATCAGATGAGATTAAGAACGACTTGAAGTTTGACTATGTTCTAGTGGTGGACACTGAAGGACTGTGTGCTCTTGAGTTAGAAGGTGACAACACTCGTCATCATGACAATGAACTGGCAACATTTGTTGTTGGTCTGGGAAACCTGACACTGATCAACATCTTTGGAGAGAATCCTTCTGAGATGCAGGACATTCTGCAGATTGTTGTTCAGGCTTTCATGAGGATGAAGAAAGTTAAACTTTCTCCCAATTGTGTGTTTGTTCACCAGAATGTCACAGATGTTGCAGCAGCAGAGAAAAACATGGATGGAAAGAGACACCTGCAGGAAAAACTGGACCAGATGGCCAAACTAACAGCTGAAGAAGAAGTTTGTGATTCAGACTGCTTCAGTGATGTCATTGAATTTGATGTTCAGAAAGATGTGAAATACTGTGCCCAGCTATGGGAGGGCAGTCCACCCATGGCTCCTCCAAATCCAGATTACAGTGAGAGCATCCAGGAAGTGAAGAACACCATCCTCTCTAAAGCTTCAAAGTCTGCTGGGATCACTCTCTCACAGTTCAAAACAAACATCCAGGACCTGTGGACTGCACTGCTGAATGTAAGTTTTGTTTTCAGTTTTAAAAATACACTTGAAATTGCAATGTACAGAAAACTGGAAGTCCAGTATGGGAGCTGGACCTGGACCCTGAGGAGCGACATGTTGACCATTGAAAACCAACTTCATAACAGAATTAAAAATAGAAAACTTGATTATGGTTAGGCTTTCTTATATTTCTAAAGCAACATGCAAAACATCTTTAAGAAAAAGATTAATAATAGTAGAGTTCATGAAAACAATTCAGTTCAGTTTTATTTATACAGTTCCAAATTACAACACCAGTTGCGTCAAGGCTCTTTATATTGTAAGGGAAAGACCCTACAGTAATACAAAGAAAACAGAGAAAACCCTAACAATCATATGGCCCTTTATGAGCAATCAATTAGGCGACAGTGGGAAGGAAAAACTCCTTTTCAACAGGAAGATACCTTCAGCAGAACCAGATTCAGGTAGGGGCGGGCTGTGACCGGTTGGTGTGAGGGTAGGAAGACGGGACAAAGAGAGCCAAAGATTAATACTAACTAATTATTAAATGCAGATAGGTTTCTAAACCTCTCTAAAACCTGTATGAAAAAGGAAACGTAAGAAGAAACACTCAGTGCATCATGGGAATTCCCCAGCAGCCTAGATCTATGGCAGAGCAACTAAGGGAGTATTAAGGCCACCTGATCGGTTTATCTGTTTGAGCTTAATGTGACCATAAAATATATTACCTGCCAAAGCTTAAATAAGTGAAGTCGTTCCCTCTGTCCCTTCACAGCAAGAATTATTTTAGGTTTATAATCACATGCAGGGTTCGCAAAAATCGCTAGCCCGACGTCCTGGGGCTAGCAATTTTTTTCCAGTCGGGCTACCAAAATCTAACTCAGCCCTGCCCATTGGGCTGTCATAGGAAGGAAAATATATGTCCATGCTTTTGCATTCTTTCACCAATGTAGCTGAGTAATTATGTCATTGGCATCGATGAGCCACTGTTAATATGTGACATATTGAAATCGCGTTTCAATCTGCGCTTGTTTTTTGCTTTCACTTTCATTTTCACTTTGCGATCGCGCCAATGGTGTGTAGACAGCGTCAGTACTGATTGGTGAGTGACGATTAATTGCGCACCAATTCCTCTGACATCGTCTTTTCACTCATTAGCTTACTATTCAAACGCGACAAGTGAAATCTCCCACAGCAAGCTTAAACATGTGAGAGGTTGATTGCGCAGAGAATCGCTGAGCGTTATGTAAGTACGTGTGTAAAAGCAGCAGGATTTGTGATGGCATTTTAGTTCTGCTCAGCCAAATAGGACAGGTCAGGGTGAAGAAGGGGCAGCCAAAGAAAAGCCTACCACAAAACGGAAAAGTTGTGACAAATCACACCATGACGCAAAAAGAAAGCGCACCTTTTTTGGTTTCATGGACAAAAGAATTTCTGTGGCTGGAATATGACAAGCCAAATAACATGATGTTGTGCCAGGTGTGTTGTGAGTTTCATTTGATTTCTGAGTCGACAAGAGCCTTTGTTACTGGGACCAGTAATTTTAAGAAAGACCCCATCATAACCCATGAGAAATGCAAGAAATGCATTATTGCCCAGTCTGCAATATCTTTCCCAGAACAAACAGCAGTTGCAAAAAACATACTAAAAATAAACCAAGCACAACAAGAACTCCTGAAAAGGCTGTTTAGAACAGCGTGTTATGTTGCAAAGAGTGAACTACCACTGGCACAATTTAGCAGTCTTTGCAAACTTCAAAAAGCAAATGGCCTAGATCTTGGTTCCACTTACCTCTTACCTGTGACTTCAGTGGAAATTTCAGATTCAGGATCTGACACAGACTGATTCATGTTCTACACAGTTCTTACAAGTTCATAGAAATTTCTGTTCAATTTGAACCAAGTATTTGAGTTGATGGTTGTAATTTTTATACAGTTGTTGTGATTTGTATTTTAACAATTTTTTGATTATTTTTTTGTTTCCTTTACAATATTATACATTAAAGTATAATATTGTAAAGGAAACAAAACATAAAAAAATTACTTTCTTTTTTATTCGGGCTACTTAAATTTATTTTGGACTACCAAAAACTGAAGAATGCTGGCCCGAAGGGCTACCAGAGATTTTGAAATTTTGCGAGCCTTGACATGCATTAGATTAACTGCTTATTGGATAATCAGCTCAGGTCTTGATGCAGTTGATGAGCTGCTTTGAGTGGTCGATAAGACTGGAAATATGTTATAGTGTATAAATGTCAGTCTAATCCTTTGTAAGAAACATTACTGTCTTCTTACTAAAATACAAAGCAAGACCTCTTCAACCTGTTGTTATATGTCATTGGCATTAAATGAAAAGCTAAATTTTCAGGGTAATGTATTTACAGTAACTCTTTATTTGTAATTTGTAGATGCCAAGGAAAACAGAAACTGAGACACTGCTTCAAAAACTTTACCTTCAAGACAATATTCAACAGAAGTTGTCACCAGCAGATTTTCTTCAAATACGTCCACCTAGGAAACAGATGGACCATGTAACATCTGAGAAAGATCTAGCTCACACTTTTCTCCACAGGCTGATAATGTTGGACTACAGGGCCAGATATATTCCTGTAGGACACAACAGTCCTGAGGTGACCACAGAGTCTGACAACACTGAGATAGATTACAGTGATCTGGAGGATATCTTCAAAACCACTGCAGACACAAATGAGAAAGAGAAGGCTCATGTGCATCCAATGGACGTGCAGATGGCAGTATTTCACTGTTCAGACAGCTTCCTTAAACAGATGGTGATTACAAAGCTCTCTCAATGTCAGTATGCCTTACCTTTACTTGTTCCTGACCCAGTCACAATGGAGATTGAGTGTCCTCTGTGGACTTTCAGAGAAATAACAAAAACTTGGAGGGTAAATCAAATCAAAGATAACCCAAACATCGTCACCATGAAGAGTATTCCAGTCTACAAAGCTGAAACACCCTTGGTGTCATTTTTCCGCCTGGGTTCTTTG